CCCTCTTCTCCTATTGAAGCATATTCACAAATTCCCAAGAAACCATTCATAACTGGCATTTAGGTCCAAGCTGGCTCTAGAGGCAGGCCAAGTTCAAGCCCATACCATCTTTCCAGCTTTGCCTAGCTAAAAGGGAATGCTCCGTGTCCAAACCTTACTTATCTGAGCATTCCACATGCATGAAAGTCCACAAGAAATACTCATACAAGTTAGGGTATGCAGTTTAAAGCCCTACCACCACTTAAGATGATTGATCTACTAATGAGCAACCCACAGAAAAGGCCAGTTTGCCCATAAAGTGTCACTTTTCACTTACTTCATAATGTATTCTCCCAAGCAGCTACTAAGGACAGTGCCCGTGGTGAGTAAGCATTTCTCAGGCAACGAAATAATTGGATCCCCTGCCTTTGAGGGAGAAAAAAAAACCACAACACACACAAAGAATAGCAGAGGTCAAGTGCAAATGACTCATCTACTACACAATTCCTGAACAGAGAGACATTCCCCAGAGAACACTAATGTCAAGAAACAAACAGATGTGATGTTGAACTTGATGGAAACTGGCATGGTTTTAAGACAGTCACAGTCCAGGGAAGGAGGACGACTGCAGTCAGTAGGAACTGTTACCTGCAGAAAGTTAGTTGTTCACAGCAAGTTTGGTGCCTGGCTACTCACTTCCTTTGTACCGAGATATATTTTAGACTAGCTCTCACAAATACCTGAATTTCTGTCAACATAGCAGTATGTGGTAGGGATATTTTAGGTCATGTCTATCCTGACCTTGTTTGCCAAGCTGCTGTGTGTGTAAATAAGCTTTCAAGCCTGGCTTGTAGGAAGAGGACATGAATCAAGTCAATACTCTCTCCTTCCCATTCCTCTCTTGAGTTTCCCTATCTTGCTCAAGCCCATTTGAGCCAAGCTCTCATTCCACTCACTAGACTTCCAGCACTGTGAATAACCTGAGCTTCTGGCTTCAACTGCTGACTCTAACCATGAGCCAACAGCACAAGAACACACACTGTTTTCCACACATGATTTCTCCACTGCAACTCCTTCCTACCTCTTGCTATACTCTATTTTGCAAAAGGCTCTGTGTCTGATTCCCCATTATTTGATATACTATTCTCATACCAGTTAGGAAATTTCTCCAACAAGCCTATTTTCCAAGAGGCAGTTTTCAGCTGGAGTCCAGTCTTTCTGTGCCAATACCTGAATGGCCCCTTTCTGCTGGGAATGATAGAAATTATGATTCTATTAGCTCGTCTACCAACAAAGAAGAGGGCCATCAAAGGGAAGTTAAGCCATGATTTCACATTATGGCTAAGATAACCTAAAGCCAAATGCTGCTTAAAGCCCCATCGCTCCCCTCCATTCCCCTTCCTGATAAGCCATTCCTCCCTTTGTATCAGCACTGGTCTGACCAAGGTGCGAGATTTCAAGGAGCAAAGCTATCAAAGCTAGTATTTCTTTTGAAGAGAGAGTTTTCTATTAGTTTAGCTTCCCAATGCCACTTACCACACAAGTAGGGAAAACTGCTACAGTGCAAAAGAAGCTGTGGGAGCCAATGGCTGAGGGAGAAGGCTTAGAGGGAAGGGGCCTGCTCCCTCTGGTTTCAGATAGCCACTGATTGCCTTAAACTGAAACACAAGACTACATACTAAATCTCTGTAAATAGGTACAGAAATGTCTACAAGTCATCAAGGTACCTACAATATCCTCTTATACATATGCCAACACTGCAAATTCAGGTATTGGGCTAGAAATTACATTTACAACAGGAACCGTAAAGACCTTGCCTGGAATATGAGCTTTGCTTGTTGCAAAAGTCATTACATCTCAAAGAACCTGAGAAGCTCTTGCATTAGAATCAACCTTACCAACCTGAAGAGCTTTTGTTGTCATCAGTCCTCTTCCTGTATCTGAAGGAGGAACAAAGAGGATGCGTATAGTAAAATACAGGAGGCTACAATAAGCTGCAATAAATTAACAGGCCAGCAAGGAAAAGCTCTGAAAGAACATACATTATCTCTTACAAATCACAAAAGCCAATTATGGATTGTTCCAGATATATATGTCATTTCTTTGTTCTCTGATTCTCTTGTTACTTTTCAGGACCCTGTGAAAGCCCTTCTCCTGCATCCCCTGCAACACTTGTTGTCCAGTTCTAGTAATTACTCAACTTCTTTTCCCCAATTTTTTCTTTAAACACATCTTTCATCATTGGCTGCTGTTCTTGGCTTCAGAGTTTTAACTAAACATTACCGTTTCTATTCACAATATTTTTTCTCTGGTTCATACTATTCTCTCTACTCTCTCTTTAATGTTGCAAAAGTTTTTGAAACATAATCTCCTTAAAGAGAAAAAATGTAAGTATATACCTTTACTGTAAACAGCACTAAGTGAATTCCAGCTCTAAAATTATTTACTTTTCTGTATCACTAGATCTGCTGAACTTGCGTGGAAAAAAAGATGAGGAAATGATAATACAGTTAGGTTCTGATACTGGAAACATGTAAGAGATACTACTTTCTTCTTTAAAACTGTGCTACTAACAATTAAACTCTTGATTTCTACAAGGCATTTGACATAGATGTGCATTTTTTGTAGCATACCAGAGTATTCTCATACTAGAGTTTTACACAAGAGCATCTTTACATATGAAACAGTTTACAGTACTTCAGGCCTCCATACCTACCTCTTTATGTTAAATGACATTCATGTGCATATAGTCCTTTAGTCCTTAAAGGACTAACGGTAACGGGCTTTTTTTCCTGATGCCAGCCAGGTGAGTGATTCAAAATGAAAGCAGGAATCTAACCTTCTTAGAAGATCAAATATGTACCACCAATAAATAACTAAAACATTACCCAAGAACTGTGCTGGCCTTAAATTGCTGTCTTCAAATCCTCTGTCTTTCAGCCACTTCTTAAGTTTAATGTATTCCAGCTTGTCACTGCAGCTGACTAAAAATAAAGAGGAGGGGTTAATGCTATAAAATAGCACTCTCTTGGAAAATAAAGCAAATTGAGCTCTCAATATTCACCATGATCTGCTTGGGACTGTAAACTAAGGCAAGAATTTTTGCATAGAAAAAGCTAACATTTATAAATGTTATATTCAAAGCACAAAGGTGTTTGACAAATATGCACCACAAAATGAAACCTTGGCAAACAACAGGTCACTTTATTATTTAGCAGTACTTCCAGGGACAGTACCTCCATCCATAAAACTCTGCAAGTGTTTTCTTCTTCTCTTTCGACCTGTCCGGCCTCTGCTTTTCTTCATATTAAGAAACGGATTTTGCTTTATTTATACAACCTGAATTCCAAAAAAAAAAAAAAAAAAAGTTACTTAAAAATGTTTAAAGTCCCTTTCAAATACTGCATGTTTCTTTTAACTCGGTAAGAGAAATCACAGCACCGCCAGTTTAATAAGATGCCTCTTTAGAAAAGGTACTGCGAGCAAGCCCCTCCACGAGGGTGGGCGATCGGGGTGAGGGAAGACGGGAAGCCTTTCAGCTCCGAACTTCATCTCGGCCACAGCACGGCCGTAACCCTCCAAAGCCCTGTCCCTCCCCCCC